TGAAGCAGAATGTGATGTATCAAATATTCATATGATACGGGCTTTAAGAGAATTGGCTGATCAAACTTCCGAGGTATGTCAATCGTTTTTTGATCTCAGTCACTGTTCTACAACAGACACTTGTTGTGAGACTTCTGACTCCTGTATTAAATCATTCTGGTGATGCTGTCTGTCTCTTGGACAAAAAAACGACGTTGGGAGAATTCATTTCTCGATGCAGAGTCCCGAAGTCTATGAAGGCTATGAAATCTAGCACCCGTGGAGATCAAGAACATGACCGATTCCCTTTTGAGCCTCTTCCTCGTGAAATCAAAAAAATGATTCTCGAAAGAGTAATAGATGAGACAACGGACTTCGATGCTTTCAAGGTTCTCACAAAAAAAGTATTGAAGATGAAAGGTGATTGTTTCAGAAGTTCTGGAAATTGAAACGCGTTAACAAGGAATTTAACTCCATCTTGAGCAGCAACTATGCTGATCGTCACTTCCCTAAGTACCCAATTGGAATTATGTTTCGAGAGCACAATATGGAAAACCACGCTCTCATGCATTTCGTCGTTTCAGATGAACTCATGAAGGAACTGCTACCACTTGATTTTTCCTACTCTGAATCAGTTAGTTCGGAAGAATACACTGAAATCAAATGGGAAGATGTTCCAAGATACTTCAAGTAACTCTCTCATCGAATTCTCTTTACTATTGTTGTTTTCAGAGATAAACCATTGAGAATAACTTTTCTAGACATTGAGGCACCATCTGCTGCAACAAATGCTCATATAATACCGGCTCTAAGAGAGTTGGGGAATCAAACTTCTTGGGTATGTCATTCCTTTATTGATCTTAGTCACTGCTCTACAACAGGCCCTCGAAGTGAGAGTTTGTTTTACAATGGTTCTTCCTGGTGAAGATGTCCTCATGGTGAAGAAAATGACACTGATGGAATACATACATCGTTCAATGTACGATCCCGGTACGATAATAAAGATGTTTTGATGGGTTTGGAAGAGTTCATGAATGAATGAATTTTTAAAACTCGGAGACGTGATTGTATCGATAAACATGTGATTGAATTCTTGTTAGATTTCTTGACATATTGAAAGAGCAAACTCTCATTCATAACCTCTACAACCATGTTTTCAACTATCTTACTCGTGTTGTGCCTTAAATAATCCATTCGAACATATTCAAATACATGAATTAGTTCATGAATCAGAAAC